ACTCACTCACACACACACTCACTCACTCACTCACACACACACTCACACATACCTATGTCATACCCTTGTCATTATACAAATGTATGCCCTCATTTGTCACAAAAACGCGCACACTCACACACACACACACACACACACACACACACACACACACACAAAAAAATGTTCAGGGCCCTAACCTGTACAATTGTACCAAGTGTCATGCTTTTATTAAAAAGTGAACATGTCACCTCAAATTTTGCACATATCACCTGGACTATATGTCTTCCTCAGATGTAATGCTAGTTCGGTACATCAGTGTCGGGTAAAATAGCATTATAATCTCATTTGTGATAGAGAAAGCTGCTTACATGTGGCTACACGGGGAAACTAGTCACAGCGAAAATGCTGAATTAAACGTAAACACAATCATCTTTTCCGCATATACATACTGGCCCTGATAATAATAAGTTCTACTTGCTCAATTGCTGCAAACCAGTCTTCTGAGTGAATGACTTGCTCCACCTGTTGCTTTGGTCTTCAGCAACACGCTTGCGCCACCTGCAGGAGAGTGACTGACAGCAGCTGGAGATCATGCATCGGCGCTCTACTGCTATTCCTGCAGCTCCCGGATGTGCAATGCTGAATTTTCTGCCGAATTTGAGCCACTGAATTTGTGGAAGTGAATTTGTAAAGTGAAACAAAATGAATGAATTAATTAATGATGCATTTATATAGTGCATTATTGTGTATTGCTGTACACCCAAAGCGCTTTACAATCATGGACCGAAAATTGCCTGTTGAATTTTATACATCGTATTTTTAAACTGATTGAATATTTTGGAAGTGAACTCTGAAAGGTGAATATGGATTATTGAATTTTTAATGATGAAAATGTGTTTGAAATGTTTTGAATTCAAATATTCACAGCTTAAATATACAGCCATGTTGGATTTCAGCCCCTAAAATTGCAAACCCTGAAAATACAAGGCATTCAAATGCAAGCACTGTTAAAGGCAGAGTAAGTGATTTCTGGTAGCCAATGTTGATATTTGAAATCACCAAAACAAACACGCCCCTACCCCAAAAGGGTCTTGCCTCTATTTTGATAGCTCCGCCCCACATATACGTACGCAACCCAGGCAACGATTAGTTCTGTGAAACAAAGCAAAACCAATGTTACACCGTGTCTACGGACGTGAGCAGCGCGGCGCAACAAATCCCGACAGAAAACTGCTGCCGGGTTCTATTTATGACGTGCTGACACACATTTCAAATGGTTTTCAACGGTCGTTTGATCGCGTCCAGTGTAGGCAGACTTTAGCTGTTGTAGACACGGTGTTACTCACCTACTGAGAAGAAACAAAGCAACCTCGGCGTCCGATCGCAGGCCTCCGCGCGGTCCTTGAGTTCTCTCCAGCGCTGGAAAGCTGATCCGATATTTACACGGGTCCTACTTCTTGCCTTATCGTTCCGCAGACGTTTCCCTCTTTTGTTTTTTATCCGCCATCTCTATCTTTCTGTCGCTCGGCTCGGCTCGGCTAATGTCCGTCCCATGCACTGAACGCGCTCTCCTCCACATCACGAGTAGACACGCCCCTTACTGCTGATTGGCTACAAGTTTGTTTTGCGATTCGGCCCGAATCAGTTTTCTAAAATGTTTTTGAAAAATCACTTACTCTGCCTTTAATGCAATGCATTACTCTTTCAGTTAGTGGAACTCAACATGCTTTTTTGTTTCAAAGACATTTGTCTTTATTTTTCTTCCATAGTCTGAGTGTATGTTTGTGCTTATTTAACCATATTTTGGGAACTAATTTGTACCCATAAGTGAATTAAATTGGACAGAATCTCTCAAAAAGTAAATAAAGTTTTATTTAGAAAAATGCAGGAGGTTTTCTGTCAGAGTTAGGTTATAATATTTACAGTATAACTAGCTATAATATTTACAGTATAATGGGAACAGTAGAAGTCAGTGCAATGTCTCCATTTAGATGAGTTTGTGTTTGTGTGTTTTTTTAAGATTTAGTAACTAAACGTGTGTGTGTGTTTGCAGGCGAGCTTCTGCTCTCTCTCTGACCAGCTGCAGCTCAGAGAAGAAGTCGATTCTGTTCAGTATCGCTCAGAACGCGTTCAACACAACAAACACACGCAGTACAAACCCTGTCAGCATCACAACATACCAGCTGCTGCAGAACTACCTCGGTAACAACACACACACACACACTGATTCACGGTCTCACACACACTCACACACACACACACACACACACACACATTGATTCACGCTCACACACATACATACATCACACTGCTGCTGTCAGGATGATCTTCTGTGTGTGTGTGTGTCTGCAGGTGGTGGTGATGCGATGTTTATTCGTACTCTTGTGAACTCCAGTGTGAATATGGACGTGCTCACATTCATGAGTCTGAAGCAGAGCGTCATCAACGTGAGTCTCCTGTCAGTCATTCATGTCTGATGATGAAACGCTGATAAGAAATTGAATTGAAGGCACAATTAAAACAGATAAATAGGGCTGCTCAATTGTACATTTACACATGTACAAGGAGAACAGAACTCAATCTGTTTCAGTGGTGTTCGTGGCTGTGTGGGTTTTTCTCTTCAGCTCATCGCCTGCTCGGCCTCATTTGTAATCCTGATGCTGCTGTGTGTGTGTGTGTGTGTGTGTGTGTGTGTGTGTGCAGGTGCTGATCGTGTCTGAGGTGAAGAGTCTGCTGGGTGTGAATGTGGCCGATCTGAAGACGTATGAAAGCGCAGCACAGATACAGGAGTGGATCAGGCTTCAGCTGCAGGTGGATCTGGACACGCTGCAGATCGGTCTGATGGGGGGCAGGAACTCCAGCGTCACAGAAAGCACCGTCAGCACCACCACTACAGCTAGCAGCAGCACTAAAGCACCGTCAGCCCAGACCGGCACCGCCGCCACCACAGGTACCACAGACACACTGCGCTTCTGAGAGATCAGGAGAGGAGAGACCGGGGCTAGTTGTCACTGATTTCACTGGAGTCAGAATTATCTCTCTATAGAAAATGAACAAACCACTAAAGTCTGGCCTGCAAAAAAAAAAATTCTTCATACGTGATGCTGTTCATCAACACACACTAGCAATAGCAAGCATTAAACAGTGCTTTCAGCAAAATACTAACAGTAACACAATCACAGAGCAGAAAACAGCAAAAACGAAATGACAGAAATACAGAACCACTAATATTGTAATACGTTGTTTAAACATTTAAAACACAACTTTTTTGCAAAATACTTGTCCTGAGAACAGTTCAGCCTTCAAATTCAGTTTAAATCAATTTCTATTATAAAGCAGTGTTATTTTTACTATACTATTACCATGTTTGTGAATATGTTGAATTAGATTTTATTTGATATGTTCTGCTTTTATTTTAATTTTAAAGTTTTCAAGTCTTTCATTTATAATAGGTTCGAACAAATAAAACCACTGCTAGAGAAAAAGAGACTGAGACAAATCCTGTAGGTGTTGAAATCAGCTGTGAATTCACTTGATTTCTGTCAGTCCTGAGTTTGTCCACTGCTCTTCTGTAAATGTTCATCTGCTGATACAGAGCTCACGTCTCAACATCTCAACATCTGTGTGTGTCTCTGCAGCTGCTGGATCCAGAGTCTGGTCACCTGTCTGTCTGCAGCTGCTCCTATTGGCTGTTACCATGACGACGCTGCAGCTGCTGCACTGATGACATCATCATCATCTCTGTACTTCCCGTCTCTCGGTCTGTCCAGTATTTAAAGAGTTTCTGCACTTTCACTTTTCATGAACTATTTCTGTGTGGAATTAGTCAAAATCAATTTGGATTACTGTGGTCACATCTGACTCGTTCTTATGAAGTTAAAGATTTGACAATGAAATGCCTCAAATACATTGTTAAAATAATTGAAAAACATCTCAATAAATAATTATAAATACAAGTGTTTTTGTTTGCATGCGTGAGAGAGACAGACTGAACCCTGCGAAGCGTGATCCATGAAGATCAACACACTGAAGCTCAGGTTACTCCAGGAGAAAAACTGTAATGAATGTAATGTCAAACTCTGTATGGATTAAAGCATAAGATAAATAATTGCATGGTTGTTATCCTGATTGTCAATTTCAGCTATTTAATACTATATTTTAAAAAATAAAATATTTTCATTCTCTCTTTTTATTATTGGATGAATTGTATTTCCTGTTCCTATTCTTTGTTTCGTCACATAGTTGAGTTCAGTATGGGTGTGTAATACAGAGTACTGGGGCCTCATTTATAAAACATGCGTACGCACAGATTTGATCTCAGAGTGTGCATCTGCTAAAATCCACGCCAGAGTTCAGATTTATAAAAACACCTTTGATGTGTAAAAGTGCTTAGCAGCACATCAGGGTCTAAGCAGACGTACACACTTCTCCTTGTGGCAGAATCAGAGCACTGCAAGTATTTGCAAATCTAAGCAATTCTGCCGCTCCTCATTCTCTAGTAAAGGATTTAGGCATTGACTGGTGCTCTATTATATGCTAATAATATTAATTAGGGGGCGTTTACAAGGCGGAGATCTGAAACAATGCTCGGACCCCGAAGCGTGTTCTCTCGGAGCTTGAATGGACAAATAGGGGAGAGCGGGGTGAGTTGAGCCAATTTTTACTTACAGTGTATTTTAAGCGAGCACATGACAATAACGGGTCCAACTTAAATATGTACATACATTTCAGGATGTGGTGCATCCTTGGGAATAATCACTTTGGATCTAAAATAAACTGCTTTCAAAATATGGGTTTCCAAAAAAAAAGTGGTCTCTTGGCTCAACTTGCCCCTATTGAGGGTTATAAGTTGAGCCTAGGGAGAGGGTATGTTGAGCCACATGGAGTTAAACTGTGCCATTGATTGTGCTGAAGTAAACATTTTCACTTCATGCTATATGAAAGAAAGAGAATTTCAATAAAAATGACTTTTTAAAATCTGTGAGCCTTGTGATGGACTGACCATCCATCCAGGGAGTTTCCCTAGGCGTCATTTATAAAGCATGTATACGCACAAATTTCTCAGAGTGGAAAAGTGCTTAGAGCCACATCAGGTTCTGCGCAGACGTACGCACTTTTCCTTGTGTCAAATTTGGAGTACTGCAGGTATTAGGTATTTGGAAATATAAGCAGCAGCCATGATGATGATGATGAGATGATAATAATAATAATAGTAGTATTAGGGCTGTGCATTTCGGTTAATTTTCCTGACAGATATCAGACGCTAGATAATTGCTTAACTGTTAACAGACAAGATTAGAATGTTAAATAAAAACTAACAAAAAAAAATATATATATATATTTATTAATACTCAACCCACTCTCCCCTATGCAATTATAACTCATTTGAATCTCATGCGATTACTGTAACAGCTCCTATAAAACTTCAGGTTGTGGTAATTTACCGCCACCTTCCTAGAGGAGATGGATGTGTCTTCATTCCCGGAGGATGGCAGTTCCCTTTTAGTCTTTGGCGACTTCAACATTCATCCGGACAAGCCTTATGCTACAGACTTCCATTCACTCCTTGCTTCATTTGATCTCAAACGACTTACCGCTACAAGCACGCACAAATCAGGCAACCATCTTGGCTTAATTTACACACGCAATTGTATTGCAGACAATATTTTGGTAGAACCCCTACATATCTCCGGCCATTTCTTCATTACATTTAAACTACATTTTGCTACCTGTGTGCCCCTCTCTTGGCTCAACTTGCCCCTATTGAGGGTTATAAGTTGAGCCTAGGGAGAGGGTATGTTGAGCCACATGGAGTTAAACTGTGCCATTGATTGTGCTGAAGTAAACATTTTCACTTCATGCTATATGAAAGAAAGAGAATTTCAATAAAAATGACTTTTTAAAATCTGTGAGCCTTGTGATGGACTGACCATCCATCCAGGGAGTTTCCCTAGGCGTCATTTATAAAGCATGTATACGCACAAATTTCTCAGAGTGGAAAAGTGCTTAGAGCCACATCAGGTTCTGCGCAGACGTACGCACTTTTCCTTGTGTCAAATTTGGAGTACTGCAGGTATTAGGTATTTGGAAATATAAGCAGCAGCCATGATGATGATGATGAGATGATAATGATGATGATATTAGTCTTAGGGCTGTGCATTTCGGTTAATTTTCCTAACAGATATCAGACGCTAGATAATTGCTTAACTGTTAACAGACAAGATTAGAATGTTAAATAAAAACTAACAAAAAAAAAATATATATATATTTATTAATACTCAACCCACTCTCCCCTGTGCAATTATAACTCATTTTAATCTCATGCGATTACTGTAACAGCTCCTATAAAACTTCAGGTTGTGGTAATTTACCGCCACCTTCCTAGAGGAGATGTGTGTGTCTTCATTCCCGGAGGATGGCAGTTCCCTTTTAGTCTTTGGCGACTTCAACATTCATCCGGACAAGCCTTATGCTACAGACTTCCATTCACTCCTTGCTTCATTTGATCTCAAACGACTTACCGCTACAAGCACGCACAAATCAGGCAACCATCTTGGCTTAATTTACACACGCAATTGTATTGCAGACAATATTTTGGTAGAACCCCTACATATCTCCGGCCATTTCTTCATTACATTTAAACTACATTTTGCTACCTGTGTGCCCTCCAGGCCAGCACGGGCTGCCCCTTCTAACCCCTGGTTATCCGATGTTCTTCGTGCGCATCAAACCAAACTCAGGGCAGCAGAGAGAAAATGGCGCAAATCAAAAGATCCGTCAGACCTGAGTATGTATCAGTCTTTGCTTTCATCTTTCTCTGCAGAAGTACATAATGCCAAATCTTCATACTTCCACAACAAGATCAACAGTGCACCAGACACATGTAATCTCTTCAAAACTTTCAATTCTCTCCTCTGTCCCCCTCACGACTGGTCTTCAACGAGCCCAAAAGAGCCCATGTTATACCTCTCTTTATCTCCTTGCACTGGCTGCCGGTTGAGGCTTGCATCAAGTTCAAGACACTGAGAACAGCCGCAGGCTCAGCACCCGCCTACTTCCACTCACTACTACGAATCTACATCCCCTCCAGAAGTCTGAGATCCGCTAGTGAGCGACACCTCGTGGTACCATCACAGAGAGGCTCAAAATCACTTTCCAGAACATTCTCGTTCACCATTCCTAGCTGGTGGAACGATCTTCCCACCCCTATCCGGAATGCTGAATTTTCAAGCACTCATCTCTTTCAACTCTACTTGACTTGATCCTAAATGTAAAAAAAAAACTTTGTCTTTCTCTTTATTTATTCCTTCCCTTTCTAGCTTGTACTTATTTGAACAATACCTAAAACTTGGTATTACAAGCACTTCCTGTGTCTGTTTGCCTCTTTAAGAAGAATCGCTTTATGTATTCCCCAATTGTAAGTCACTTTGGATAAAAGCGTCTGCAAAATGACTAAATGTAATGTAAATGTAATGTAATGACTAAATGAGAATACAGAGGGTCTCCTCTTGAATCTACAGGCAGTGCCCTTATTGGCTGAGGAAGATCGTATTGATCTCTAGGCAGTACTGACCTGCCCTCAGTGGCTGCTGTATATGGGCTTGAGGTGACAACTCTCTTATCTGCATTAACCATTTGATCTGGAAAAGTCTGAGTCCGAGGCTGTGGCTGTGGTAAGCCTTGATATTTCTCCATGAATGAGCTCCGTTCACTTGATCCAGTGCTTGCACCTTTTGTTGGTTCTGATCCACTTTCAAGACTTTATGAACTCAGACATAAGTTTTTCACCTGACGCAGGTCCAGTGGCACCTTTTGCAGGCTGCACATCATTCGAACAAAGTGACTGACGTTGTACTATATAATCAACCAAGAAGTCATCTAGGCACCATGGTGGAATGACATGTCGACGTGGTCGAACCACTGGTAACTCTGGCATAGCCTGTCTTTCTGTTCTGGACATAGTGATGCTGTAGTAGCTGTCTGCTCCGGCTCGAAGGACCAAAATTTGAGTGGAAGTTTACGGTGCAGTTCTTAGTCTATGTGGCAACCGCTACAGATTGTCCAGACAGAACAATAAATCACTCGGTCCATGTCCACAATAAACTCCTTTACTGTTCCCATTTGAACCATACATCAGTATGAGTGTGGTTTTATAAATGAACAATAACAACAATAATGAATATAGATACACTTACAAGACAGAAAACAGTAATAGTTGAACAATACAAAGTAACAATGCAACAGTATAAAGATAAGAACATATATAAATCCAGCAGATATAAATTGCTTCAAGTTTATATACATATTTACTTTAAATCAATTATCTGATAAAGCAATGTTAAATATTTCGTCATAATATTCAAACAGTTGCATTTAGTCTTATTTATCGTGTTTTATGCTAGAATGAATGTGCGATTGAGCTTACGTGCACATTAAGTACTTCAAAAGAATGAGCGAACATTTAGTATTGCAATATAGCGTTACAGTAATTAAATCCAACAGATGTATGAAGAGTATTTAGTTACTTAATTTCAAAATGTACGCACACAGTATGAACAAATATCCCGTGCCGTGCTGCTGAGTGGTTTGCGATTGTAGCTCCATGTAGCTTCGCTTTTCTGTTGAATCTCTATCTTACTATCACTCTGTTGTTGTTTAAAGTGATAAAATATAACTTAATTCCCACCATATGTCCAACATTTTCTATAAAACTAATCTGACTAATTTGATAGTTTTAATTTTAGACTTTTAATTTTAGAACGCGAGTGCAGCGCGTTAGCATTCGTTAGCCGGTTAGCTTGTCATTCGTGCTTCTATTCGTGTCTATTACCATTTCCTTTTTCTCTCGCTGCATTTTTCAGTTCATCAATCAAAAGTGGTAAGTCGGAATCATTCATCAATCACGGTGAGTAATGGCTACTTCTCCTGCTATTGTTGTTTGCACCGCTTGCCGCATGTATAGTTTATCTCTCTCTGTCAGTGGCGAGGGATTCACATGTGATAAATGCAGGGAAATAGTTAGGCTGACAGAGAAGATTTCAGAATTAGAGACACGCATCCAAACTTTAATTGAGGACAGTAAGAATGTGAGGGCTGAAGATACAGCTTTTGGATGCGACTAGCTCAGGGAGTCCTTTACATCGTTCGGTTCCGGTTACAGAGCCCTC